CCACAATATTAGGTTGCATATTTCAGTGCAACATGAAGTTGTTTTGACTACAACATAGTCGAATCCAACGGTTGAGATTCATTATCATCTCTCAGCTAAAAGCCTCTTCTAATTGGAACTTTACCCTATATATGTGTGTGTGCATGAAAAACTAAAAAAATGAAAAAAGAGAATTATATATATATATATATATATATATATAGAGAGAGAGAGAGAGAGATGCTCCTGTCCAGCAGTTCAGACACGAGCCGCCGTCCGAACGCCGCCGTTTGGGCGGTTCCCGGTGGAATTTTTTGATGATTTTTTTTGGGCATGTTCCTCGTCAAGTCTAGTTTATCTACAAAAAATTTCAGCTCAAAATTCGATCGTGAAGGCAGTCAAATAATTTTTTGATGTTGACTGCATTTTCTATGTATAATTTGGCGTAGTTAACTTCAAAAATGATTTGACTGCCTTCCCGATCGAATTTTGAGCTGAAATGATTTGTGGATAAACTAGATTTGATGAGGAACATGCTCAAAAAAATTCATAAAAGAATTACACCGGGAACCGCCCCAAACGGCGGCGTTCAAACGGCAGCTCCTATCTGAACTGCTGGACAGGAGCATTTCTCTCTCTCTCTCTCTCTCTATATATATATATATATATATATATATATATGTATGCATCACATGCAATATTGCTGTAAATGGCATTCGTTTGTTCTTGTTATGCAAGATACCGGTGCTTGTGAATCTACCCATTCATTAATTGAGTAAAGTTGGCATACATAATGTATATTGTTGTAAATGTCATTCTGTTATTCTTCACATCTAGACATTGAAATGTGTGATTCTCTCCATTCATTCACTAAAACAGGCATATCATGGATGTTCTTAGGCTTCTTTAGTTAACTGCCAATTTATTGATGATGCAGGGTTACATGCCCATAGTAGGTCAACTCTGGAAATCCCTATCTTCTGGTTTATTCACGGGGAACCATTGTTAGTTGATAAGCATTACCAGGCAAAAGCACTACCCGATATGGTTATTGTTGTTCAATCAGAATCATCATCATGGGAAAGTCATCTACAGTGTAATGGGCGGTCGCTTTTGTGGGACTTGAGGTTATATTTTGAATTGATGATGAATATTCGGTGTTGATACTAGCAAAATTATTCTAGTTTCGGTGGTATATGTTATGTAATACTAGTACTACATAATTTGAATTTTAACTTGGCTGGTTTTACACTCGTTGCATTCACATTGCACAACTACCATTGTGATATCAGTTTTTAAAAGATAAAGGTGAAGGAATAACTTTGAATCAACTTTTTCCATGACTAATGACCATCATTCTTCACCCTGAGCATTTCTATTTTTCCTGAGATAAAATAATGTGAGAAATCTTGAAAGCAGTGCAAATAACAATTATTGTCCGTTTTCCCTATGGTCTGTTAGGAGGCCTGTAAAGGCTGCTTTAGCTGCTGTCTCAGAACATCTAGCTGGAATTCTTCCTCTTCATCTTGTTTACAGTCAAGCTCATGAAACTGCAGTCGAGGTTTGTCTTGCATGAAATGGGATTTTATCTATTGAATTATCTGGTCATTTGTAGATAAGAAAGCTTCAGTGCAATGTGTTATCCAACTCTCAGTGCAATGATTATTTCATGATCCATTCTGATAAAATTATACCCTTTTTTATTATAAAATTATATCCTCATTTGTTGTTAATGCCTTTTTGAACAGGATTGGATATGGTCAGTAGGTTGCAACCCGTTGTCTATCATTTCTTCAGGCTGGCGCATCTCGAGATTTCTATCTGACACAATTGCTCGAAGTTATATACTCACAAGTCTTGAGGAATCAATTCTACTCGTCAACTCAGCCATTCATCGCCTTGTCATGGAGAAAACGTGTATCCTTTTGAGTTTGATCTCTGGCAGATTTTTCTTTACACCCCATATTTTATACCAATATTTAATTTTCCACCCATGTTTTATTTTCTTTGATTTGACCTCCGATTTCATGTCAGTCATGTTACCCGATCCCCAACACTTTCGGGACCAAGGCTTCAATGTTGTTTTATTTTCTTTGAAAATGCACCCTATTCCAGGGTGGGTCATTTCTCGAAAAACTTTGCACACCATCCATCATTTACTTCTTTGAAACATGTTCTTGCACATTTACTTTAATTTAAGACTTGATCCAGACTCTGGACTCCGAAGCATAGTTGTGAGTTATTTTATCCTGGGCACTAGGGCAGTATGACATCTTCTTAGCATGTGAAATGGTGTGTTTGCTCTACTTAACGTGAAACAGCAGAGAGGACTTTCAAGCTCTTTCAATCTCAGGAGCGTGAGCTATTAAACAAATATAATTATGTTGTCAGCTTGTGGAGAAGGGTACGCAATGCAATGCACAATTTTATCATTCTTTCTGCACTTGAGACTTTTACTGTTTTGCTCATATGATGATGCATATAAATATACTATACAATCGTAAATTATATCCTCTCATAGCCACATGTCATTGTCAATGTGAGCCTATATATACAAGAGCTGAAGAGGTTACAAATTACAACTTATTAATACTTCATGTGCCCCAACTTTTACAAAAAGGTTTGCCAACTTTCTTAATCTGGCTGTCCCAAAAAGTTTGACCTCACAATTTTCACTTCATTATTTGTTGAATTAGTCAAACTTGGGAAAACAAATAGGGGCGGAAAAGTCATTTCATTTCACATGAGAGATGAGACAATATATAGGTTCTTTTTTACAGCCCATTTTGGGTAAAAATGACATTTGTTTTGATGATATCTTCATGTTTCATTCCCATTTAATAAGCTGGGCTCTTTCTCTTGCCCATGCTCATAAGCTCATGGTGTATGGGTGTCTTTTTCAGATTTCAACTGTTTCTGGAGAGCTTCGTTATTCGGATGCATTGGTACTTCTGCATACCCTAGAGGATGCATCAAAAGGGTTAGCTACCCCCATTGGTTATTATTACTCTCGCATGACAACTTCTAATTTTTATGTTTGAAGATTACCAGTGTCTCTTTGTTAGTCTTTAGATTAGAAAATAACTGCAGTGTATATGTTTAATTAAAGCATTTATTTCGATACATTAATGAGATAGGTACCACCCCTTCCTCCGAATTCCCTCTCGACCAAACTCACCCCCCCTCAATAAAATAGGTTCCAATCTCGATCAACTCCCTCTCACCCGTGATTAGCTATATGACCTAAACAGGGACCAAGCTCCTCGCTACATAAATCCTACACACAACCTGGTTCTTAATTTGTTATTGATAAATGTCTCTCTTTTGGCAGGTTTGCAGATTATACAAATGTGACACTAGCCAGCCTCTCTCCAATTCACTGCACAAGCCACCGGAAAGTTGATGTTGATTTTGACATGACAACCATACCTGCCTTTTTGGTTGTTCTCTTCATTCTATGGTTTGTTTTGAGGCCAAGAAGACCAAAGCCAAAGATCAACTGAAGCTGGTTTCTATAATTCTATTAACTGCTAACAAATCCAATCTACTAACTGATAACAAATCCAATCTACTAAGGACCAATTTTTTTTGCTTCCAAAACAAGTGTTCTGCAGTGCGTAATGTATTTTGCTCTTCATCTGAGTCTTGCCGTAAGTGTTTTCTCTGATCTTAGCAGAGGAAGCCAAGAAGCTAGAATGAAACCAAAATATGAAGTGATCTTATTATTACAGCTGATGTACCAAGGAGAACTGAGTTTTGCTAAACAATGAAAGACAAGTATATGCTCAAGAAACCAAAGTATCAGGTAGTCTGTGACCCCTCATTGCGAAAAGCATGCCGTTTCAAGACATATTTACTTTTGTTAAGCAATGAAAATGCTCGAAACATGCTTATTACTGAACTGACCATTTCAGAGTCTATTCAGATGGAGGGTTTTTTTACGAAACATTCTGAAGAGGTGTATATCTTTGACATATTTTTGAGATTATAAAGATTATTTGACATATATTTGAAATTTATAAAGATTATTTTTTACTACGCACATAATATGTGATTGTATAATTTTCCTTTCTTAAAAGCATTGTATTTATAAAAAATTGCTCTAAAAAATTAAAAGTAATGTGAAATTTTTGGATAAAAGCATTATGTTTTCTTTCCTGAAATAGTACGGAAAATAAAATCAATTTTGATGATAATATTATTGTATTAATATCTATAATGTTTTTTATGAATATCTATTATGTTAAAAAATATTTTCCCTTTTTATTTAGCCATTTTTTACTTTTGCAATCAAAGATGGTAAACTTTAATCCATTTCATATCATTTTTATATTGTCAATATTATTTTGTATAAATATATAATTGGTCAAATTTGACTTTAATATCTTTGACTTGAAAATCAAATTTGACTAAATAAAACGGGCTGATAATTGTACTCATGCTTTAGAAAAAACTCACAATACTCATTTTCAAATTTGAATTTATTTTTAACTCTATTTTAGAAAATATCCCCTCTATTTATCGACAATAAGGAGGCAAACGGTGTTTCAGCCAAAAAATGGTGGCTTAATCACTTTTAGAGTTTTAGTGTTGTGAATAAATGAAAACGATGTTTGGTAAATAACTGTTCGGCACAAGCATTTTTGGATGAATTTGCTGAAATGAAAACGTTGTAAACAAGAGAGTTTGAGTTAGCACTTTAGATATGATGCTTTCTACCAAACATTTTCTAACAACCCACTAACTTATTCCGTTAATCAAGCTCGCTGATCAAATGCGTTATTGGCAACCCGCTAACATAATTTGTTAAGAGCTAAATGGTCAAATGACAAACATGCCATATAGTATCTTGGTTCACGGAACTAATGTATCAACAAGTATCAACTAGCTCTTGATCTTTGGTTTCTATAGTGAAAAGCAGAACAGCAACTCCTGAAACAATCGCTACAACCTCAAATAAAAATATGGCTGCCTTTATTTCACAACCATTAACCAATTGAATAGCAACCATGGGACATATCATATTATCATCCCAGCAATTCGCCCTACTGAGTTGGCAACTCCGGCCCCTGTTGTCCTCACAGAAGTTGGATATATGATATATCATATATCTGCGCACGAGAAATTAAACAATTACCGGTTTGGACTTTGGATATGGTAGAACTGTCCTGGTTTGGCCTGGGTTTAGCTTATTTTTAAAAATTGAAGAAATTTTAAAACCCATGATTGCTCCAGGCTGATCCCAGAGGATCTGGAATCGGTTTGGACCAGCTTTGGGCACTAGTTCCGGCTAGGCATGGACTCGGTTCGGGCTGGGCCGGGCCTCGGTCCGGTTCCGACCGGTTTTTTTTTTTGGAGAAGTGAGGCCCGGAAACCGGCCCGGGTAGCTCCGGGCCCGGGTCGGGCCGGTTCACCCTGCGGTTACCGGGTCGGGTCGGGCCGGTTCATCCTATTTTTTTTATTTTCTAATTACTTCCTACCCCCCTCACCCCCACACCTCAAACCCCTCCAAAACACCTAGGTCAACCCATTTACCTTTTACAAAATGTGAAAAACAAAAAAAAATTGGCCCGAACCAACCAGGCCGGTTCGTGATTTGGGAGGCCCGGGAACCGCCCCTCTACAGTGCCAGGCTGGGTGGCCCGAACCGGTCACAGAACCGTGGACCGGGCCGGTCCGGGCCTTAACAGTGCCAGTTCGGGCCGGTTACGGTGCGGTTAACCCGGCCCGAGTCCATCCCTAGTTTCGGCATAGGAACTGGATTAAAGGACGTCTAGTCCGGTCTGTTACCTGCCCAATTCGATTCCAAAACCAGGACCTAGTTCACCCTTAGGTAGAACACTTGAAGGACCAAAAAACTGCAATCCTAGAAATGACAAACAAGGGCTCAGTGCTAACCTCAGGGCAATATATCACAACAATTGTGAATGTCCCAATGAAGCACATACGAGCTCCAGATAATAAGAGAGTGGTTAAAGTCTCATTCTGATGTAAACCAATTGGTAATAGAAAGAGGAAGCCCAATGCGAACATAAGCGTCAATGTAATTTTCGACCAACTTTGTCTACCAATTCAAGATTGCTGCTAATATAAGACCAGGAACCTCTGAACATTATTCATTCTCTGTTATTTCTCAAAAACAGAAATGAACAGTTCTGAATATATATATAAAATGATTAGGAGTATTTGACAAAAATCACTTCCCTATCTTTACATGCATCAACTAAAAACTGAATCTACATAACTTTTTTAGGGACTAAAATAGTTCACAGAAATGTACCTCTGTTGGTAGGGACTAGGGAGTACAATATTGTTATGAGGAATAATAACCAAAATATTGGTGCAAATAGAAAACTATTTCAATTATTAATAACTAGAAACTAACACTAAAATATCAGGGAGTACTAATATATAATATTGATATTAATGAACACCTTGATGAAGAGAATTATGTTTACCTGCTAGACTCGTAAAAAAACATCTCTATATAGGCTAGAATTACTGCTCAAGCCCGATGAAGTAGTTGAGAGGCATTTAGTTTGGCCACTGCTAAGCTCTGAGGTCATTAGTATAACTCCATAATACAAAAATGCATTCCCAAAATACAGTGTCCATATGAGAAGGGTAGTTCCTATTAATTTGGGTGACAATATTGCAAACAGAGAAGAGAATCCGGCTCTAAAATTAGCACAAGTGCCTGATTCCTTTGATGGTAAGGCTTCTTCATTGGCACCAGTAGTTTTCTCACAAACAAGCATTCCAGTTGGAAGTTTTGTTTGGTTCACTGCAGCCATCCTTTTCAAGATAATGTGAGCATCTTTTACCCTTCCCTGGGAACACAGGTACCTAGGAGATTCTACTATGAAACCATAAAAGGCAAGTGTGGCAAATGATGATAGTGCATTAGTGCAAGCAACCACCTCCAACCCAACTTTGGCATAACAACCTATAGCCAAATATCGAAGAAATGTGTGTTCACCTAGGTACACATGAAACAAATATCGAGTAAATGAATCTCACATTCCATGACGGAGCCATACAAAAAAAGCGGATGACACCCCATCCCCAAGGGCCCCACCGTTGGGAGACAGGTCACACCAAAAGCAGGACAAAGATTTACAAAAGAAACAATGCATTTAATAATATGTCTTAATTTATCTCATGCTTTTCTTTTAACTAGTTTTGTACTGTAGGTATTATTGGACTGGACCGGACCGGAGCAGAAGTGGGTGGGGCGCTAAACACTCCACTGAATGACAACATTATTTGAAAACCAATGAGGGGGGTGGGAGAAGAGGAAAAAATTTTAGAACATGATGCCACAACATAAAGATTAATACTCCCTCCGTCCCGTTAAGATTGTCCCTTTCAGGAAATCCCACTAAGATTGTCCCATACCAAATTTGGTAAAATTTGTGTGGCTCTAAATCATTTTTACTTTATCAATTTAATATCAACCACACAAACCCACTTTTCTTAATAATCGTGTCACATTCTCTTGTCCCAATCTTAGTGGGACGGAGGTAGTAACAAACATTAATACGTTGAATCCGTTGGTGGCTAGAACCTTAGTTTTAACCAGAACTTCCAACTCAGCTGGTTGTGAGGTTAGCCCTGCATAGGAGAGGTCTCGTGTCGAGTCCCACTAGCACCAGTGGTACTATGCCCCCCCCCAAAACTCTTCAAGTGGTAGGGCCAAGCGGTGTATACTAACTCGTAGGGCCAAACCAAAGTTGGGTTTCTGGGGTAAGGAGTCGTGAAAGCGGTGGAGCTAGTCACTATAAAAAGTTTACACATACCTTAATTTTAACCAGAACTTCCAGTCTAGTTGGTTGTGAGGTTACCCTGCATAGGAGAGGCCTCGTGTTCGAGTCTCACTAGCACCAGTGGTACTATGCTCCCCCCAAAAACCCTTTAAATGGTAGGGTCAAGCGGTGCATATTGGGCCGAGCCAAAGTTGAGTTTCTCGGGTAAGGGACGGATGTAGTAATATTTGTGACCTTATTCCTATAATTTGCTAAGGGTCACAATTTTTTTTTTGCAAAATTTCAACCTATTATAGTACTCCCTCCGGTCCTTGCTAAACTTTACACTTTGATTTCACACATATTAAGGAAATAAATTTGACTTTACGGTAGAATACACTGTTTGAAACTGTTTGACGCTGTTTGGCACTGTTTAGCACTGTTTGGTGTAGATTGTTTGCCAAACAGTGCCAAACACTGTCAAACAATGTATAAACAGTGTTTTCTACAGTAAAGTCAATTTATTTCCTTAATAATCATGAAATCAAAACGTGACTTTGTTTTGAAAACGGGAGTACTTGTTAAGATCTTGCCAAGATGACATTCATCATTTTTATTACAAAAATGATGTTTGTACACACTCTTATACACATTTTTGTACACACATATGTCTGTGAAAGCTTTTCTTTTTGTCTGTGAACATCGATTCATTGACAATGTTTTGCACAAAAAAAATTCACAAACATGATGTGTATAAGGTGTATACATCAAGTGTTTTTATTATGCAACATGAAGTGCGACTAAAGTGAAATTAGAAGTCAAGTGGACCCACAAGTGATCCACCTTTTGTTTGACCGGCCAGATCCGAGCCGCATTATTCATTATGTGCAGTTTACACCTCAACCGAAGCTTCCGGAAGCAAGGTCCGAGAGAAGAACCCTAACGGCCCCTAATTATATACAGCAGAGAACTATGCATTCATTTTCGCCATTGATCCACCATTGATACTGCATTGTGATCGTTTTAAATATCTTCTGCTGTACAATTGGGATCCATTATTGTCACTCCGCTCTTCATCCATCAAGACCGATATTTAATATTTGTTGTTATTCGATCCACAGTTGTACTCCGCAATAGAAATGGAGGGGGGTGGAGCTGCCGCCGAGGGAAAGCCCAAGGATCCGGCGGCGGCGTCATATACCTACTGGGTTAGGGAAAAGACATCAGACGCTGCACCCCTTCCCGTTCCCCGGAAGCTCAACCCTGATAACCAACCTAACAACGAAACCCATGCCCGGCTTGGCTCCGCCTGGAATTCGGTAGCTCCTTCCCGTCCATTTCTGTTTTTTTTTTGTTATAAAAATAGTTTTTTGCTCCCTTCTTTGCCGAGTTATTTTACATTAGTGGATTGACGGCTATTTTAGCTGGATCTATGTAACTGTTAACTATTGAATAATACTCGGGGCCATTGGTGGTGTTTGATAAGTAATACCAGTTGCTGTCGGGGGCTGTCCATTTTCAAGCACAGTCATCAGTACCTTGAAGTGTTCCTGATGCAGAGAGAACTTTATTCCACCTTCGATGTAAACTAACCAATTTTTTTAGATCTGTTAGAGACAAATCATGAATCTTCAAATACTTATTTTATTTACCTACTCTGGGTGTATTTTTGTCGTCTATGCTCAAATTTTAAAGTGCTTTCTATGTGGGAATCGTTCGACCAAGGTTGTGTAGGGTTATCTGTTTCTGGTTTCATAATGATTCTCTACAGTCACCGATTACCCTAACCCCACCCACAAATACTCAAACCATATCATGTGATTCTAATCCTATTCCCTGGTGCATTTTGACTTCTGCTTTCTTTTTTCTTGCAGGCTGGAACATGGGAGGAAAAGAGTCTAGATAAATGGGCTGATAATAGAATTAAGGTTCGACTTTTGGTTCACCTTTAGATTCAATTACGAGACTTTTCTCTATTTTTGTTTGAGAAATGCTGTGATTCGGCCCTTTCTATGGATTTGATCTTTGTTTAAGTTTGCTGTTTATTGAATTTTGCTTGCACTTACTTTTTCAACAAAGTCAAATGTATATATGGAGTAACTATTAAGATTAAAAGTAAATCTTGTTATATTGGTGTACTATATTGTAGTATTGTGGCTTGATGTTAGTCCCTTGCAAGTTGCAACAAAGTGACAATTATGCACCTTTTTATGATTATAATTAAGAAGTTAATCTTGTGAATCTATCCTAGAATTTAGCTAAACCTTTAAATTCTAGTTTGTTCACCTATTTATTGAGTGAAGTCTTTGTTCATAAACTACACTATTTATATGGTGGACCATTTTTCTACAAAGCTACAGTATAGCAATTATCTTTTTGAGTAGAAAAGGGCTTCAAATTGGGCATCCCCTTACGGTACATACTAATATGTAACAGATAAAATAAAATCACACTGTAATGTTGAATAACATGCCTTAAACTTGTGAGCATCTTACAAGTTTTGGACAGTACTTAGGTTCTCAATAGAATATAATTATGTGCGCAGAGAAGTGGCATATGATTTTGCAGACAGAGCTTTTGGACAGTACTTAGGTTCTCACTAGAATATAATTAGGTGTTTTGTTTCATAGATGCTCACATAGACATAAAATGTGCTTTAAAGAAACTAAGAAAGGGTTTCTTCTCTTACTTATTGTTAAATTGAGCATGTTAATAACTCCCTCCCTCCCATAATGTAAGATGCACTTGGGTTTTGCATGGTTTTCAAGAAAACAAAGGGTGTAGTAGTTCTTTTAAAATTATAACCTTCTAAAAGTACTTTGGGTCCATATGTAAGTGAAAAGATGGAATGGCAGGTAGAGGGAGAAAGTGAGGAAGTATAAATTTAATAGTGTTCAATTTTAGTAAGTGTTCATATTTTTGGGACAACCTTCAGAAAAATGCATCTCTCAAAATGGGACAGAGGTTGTATATAATAGGCCACTTAGACAGGCTAAGGAATAACTATCTCATGGTGAAAATGTTAAATATGCTTAAGAATGCCATTACATTAATGAAATTCAGTGATATATAGAGGGAAGTAAATAAAGAAAACAGAACAAATTCATTATGTTGGGTGTCTTGTTTGATCTTCTTTGTTTACACATACACTTTTTCAAAGAGAGATTAGTGGCAATGGGTACGACAAGTACAAATTTGGTAAATTACTTCTTGAATTGTTTCTTAACTGCAGGAATTGCTGGAGTCCATGGGGTCTCTGGAAATGTGTGGAGGCAAAGCTGAATTAACCGAAGTAACAAAATGTAGTGGAGATGTGAGTGCTTTAAAAATTTGTAATGCCATTGTATTTGTGCAGCTTTGTTTTTTATTAACGTTTGGTATATTTTTTTCAGACATTACATTCTCTTTAATTTTTACAGGCATTCTTGGTGACTGTACGTAACAGAAAGCGTGTTGGCTACACGTATGAGCTAACACTAGGGGTGAAGGGTAACTTTTCATCTCATTGTTGTTGCCAGCTTCTGTTATCATTTTTAGCTCCTTCATTAAAAAGGATTATTTGTTTTCTCCAACACATACTTCTGTATGAGTTGTCCTAACTGGATGCTATTGAAACATAGGGGAGTGGCTTGTTGGAGCTGAGAGGAAGGTTGTCAAAGGTCATATAGATGTACAAGAGTTTTCATTTGGTGAACTGGATCGCTTGCAGGTATATTTTTTAGTGAGCAAGCATAGTTATCATTCAATTTTATTGCCCTAGATCCTCGATAAATTGTACTCTCTCCGTTCCTTAAAACTTGATCAAGTTTGACCGGCACGGGGATTAATAAAGTAAAAAATTATGTGGTTGAGGTTTGTACAGAAGAGAGAGATGAGAGATAATTAACTGAGAATTAATTGGAACCACAAATTATTTAAGAAAGGGAAAGTGTCAAAGTTATTGGGCAACTAAAAAAGAAAAATTGGTAATGTTTTAAGGGACGGAGGGAGTATTTGAGAAAAGGAAAGTGTTATATCTGGGAATATGTAAATTTTTCTTTTCTGCAGATCAAGGTTAGACTAAATGAAGACAAGGATCTTGAGCACAAAGATAAGCAGCAAATCAGGCACAATTTTGAACAGTTCCTGCAACCTCTCCGTGAAAAATTACTCCAGTTTGAGCAGGAACTTAAGCAAAAAAACTAAGCTTTATCTACCTTAGCATGTACCAGCAGTTTCTTTTTCTGAAAAAAGACATTGCCATTTTGATTCCTTAATATAATTTAAAACCCTGTAGTTATATTCCCACCAGACTGGGAGCTTTTACATTGTAATTGTGGTAAAATTACTTCATGGACATTTGACTATTTTTGCGTGTTCGTTGAATTAGTATTCTGAGAAGAATACCCCGTGTACCGAGATTGACAAGCCGTCCCAGACAGCCAGACTCCCGTCTTCAGCCTGCACTGGTTATGTTATTTTTAACTAGGCAAAAAAGTGACTTTTTTAATTAGGCTAAAACCTGGTATTAATGTATTATTAGTTGGGCAAAAACCGGTCTTGGACTAGGGATGGATTCGGGCCGGGCCTAGGCCCGGTCGGGCCGCCGGTTCAAGAACAGTGGGCCCGGGACCGGCCCGAGGGTTGGACGGGTTCGGGCCGGGCCACCCGCCCGGGTCACGGGTCTGGTCCGGTTCAGGCCGGGCCGGTTAATTTTTTTTTTTAATAAATTATATTTTATAGTTTATAGTTTTATACGAGTATTAAAAACAAACTTCAATTGCATTTATTTGAAATGAAATAGGAACTACATTTGAAAATTAAAACAAACTTTAAGAGATAAACATTTTGAAAATTGTAATCAATCGGAACTTCTCGCACCTCCCGATCCTTTGGTTTTGTCACATGACTTCATATGTTTGATTGCCATTCCGAATCCGCCTGAAGCTCCCAAGATAAAAAAAAATTTCGCAGCATTTGCAAATTGCGTACAACATCTTGGTCTTCGGGTCCTTCTGCTTATCAAAATTATACCGTATAATGGCATTTTGATTTTCCATTTTAACTTCTTGGAGAAGAGAATTAGAGAGTAGATATATGATATATTGGAGAATAAGAGAATTAGAGAGTAGAGAGTTAAGAATAGGATTTAGGAAGAATTGGAGAAGAGATGAAAAAATGTTTAAGATTAGGAGTATTTATAGGTTTTTTTACCCCCCACCCCCCCTACCAGCCAACCCCCCCCGGACCCCCCCTTTACCCCACCCAACGGCTATATAGCTGTTTGGGTTGTCCCCAGTCCCACCCCCAACGGCCAGGCCGGGTCACAATAATGCTGAACCGAGCCCGCCCCGCCCCTTCCCACCGGTTCGGGTCCATACCCGGTCCCGGACCGCCCGACCGGGCCGGTCCCGGGCCCGCACAGTGCCGGGCCGGGCCGGATCACGGGCCGGGTGGCCCGAACCGAATCCAACCCTATCTTGGACTAAGCTGGGAAACAACCGAGTACCCTCATCAAGTCATTAGGCTATAACTAGTCTAGAACTAAACAGGGGGAAAAAATGTACTCAGAATTTGAAGGTCTCTGTGCCAGACAAGTGAGACAACTCTCCAGTCTCATTAGGGAATAAGGATTGCAAGATGAATAATGTTCTGCAGTTCTGCCAAAATAATACGTAGCAAACTAGCAATTATAACCTGGTATTATTTTTATGCACATGCTAATTTTTTTTTTGAAAGGTGCACATGCTAAATTTGATCACTTCAGGAAACAAATGACGAGAAAACACTTATGGATTCCTAGCATCAATAGCCCTATTTTTCGTTCAAGTTTGCTTGACAATTTAATGGTAAAGAATTAAAGATATGCTTTGGGTCTTCAAGAAATAAAACTGAACTAAAAAATAAGCAGTATCCCCTTTCGTACATTCTATTATTGTCCAGTTACAGCGGTCATGAAAATGTTACAAACCTCGAGTCTTGTCGACGTAATCCTAATCATTCAGGAATATCAGGATCTTTTGGTGGGTAACACATGCTTAGGTTAAGAGAAAAAACTCAGAAAAAAACCTAAAATAGTATTACCACTTTGGCATTGGCTATTTGGATGTGCTGCTACAAGTTCTTTTTGAGTGGGCCACTCAAAGCTGCCTTTGCCTTCTTCCAGACTTTCATGGATGTGGCATTTCTTGTAAAGGTACACATTTTCCCAATGTCTGGCTGTGGTGCTTGTTTCATGGTCCGCAAGCCTTTCTTCTCATCATTGGCTTCATTTTGCTTGTCATTGTCTAGCTTGGCTGTCACATGGACATTGTTTTTTCTTTCCTTTGAAGCACACTGCATAGAACTTCCAGCAACTGTTTGATGATCAACTATACTTCCTTCCCTTATTTTTGAGGACAAGTCCTGTCCCTTCTCAGAGTGCAAACCAGGCAAAATCTGAGAAATGCTAAAAGAAGTGTTTCTCGTATCACCATTAACCAGCTGTGTCCAAGAGCACGTTTGCATCCATGAACCACCTTTGGCTGATGACCTGTCGGTCTTTGGTTCATTTTCCTTTCTTGAAGAAGAAACTTGACTGATTGGTTCTTGTTTGTTTTCATCAGTGAAACATGGCATATAAATTCCATTTGATTCAGAATCAGTTTGCAGTTCCTTCTTCCCCGATTGCTTAGAATGCTTCTTCGTAGGAGTGATGCCCACTGCAAGGTCTACAGTCTGAAGATCAGCCTGCATGCTTGATTCAACATGACTAGCATCTACCCTATCACCACCCTGTGAATGCGAACTATGGCTCCCGTCATTTAAAGCAGAAATCTTATCTAGTAAACCACCTTCTCCATCTTGTGGAACTTTTCTCTTCCGGGAAGCTATGATATTTTGCTCTCCAGACATTTTCTTGGATAGTGATTTCTGAACATTTAGAGTATGTTTTATTTCTGAAAAATGCTACAGAAAGGGGGCTAATGATATTTTTTGGAAATTTGATTAATATTCAGCACACACACACATATCAAGAAGTATTTGTTAGCTAAATAAAGTTTATTTGGACAGCAAGCTATGTGATTAACATGAGAACCAACCTGTGCATGACAACTATGCTTCCTGTCATCTGCTGCACCACCTTCACGGTCTTGAGAAACTTTTTCTTTTTTGGAAGCTATGATCTTTTGATCTCCATAATTCACCTTGGATAGTGATTTTTTAACACTTTGGGTAAGTCTTGTTTCCGGAAATTGCTGGAGAAAGGAATACAAAAAATATCAAATAAGGATGTTATTAATTGGATTATTGGACTGAAATTTTCTGGTCTGATCTAGTCTATTTAAGTCTAGTCTGGTCTGGTTTGAACTGGTGTGGTAGATGTCTAGTCTGTGTGTATTTTACAACAGTCGAAATCTGGTTTAGTTTGATCTATTTAAGTCTGGTATGGGACTGAAATAAGCCCAAACAAAAACATCCTAAAATTTATTTTCTTGTGTGGTGTTTTACCACATAAAATGCAATAGAAAAGGCTACATGACTAACTTGTTAAATTCTAGTGGTATTTAGATTTCTTAGTATTCAACTTTTTATGTAAAAGACATCCAGAAAGAGATGAGCATCAACATATAACTAAAATAACATTATTAAGTTAATCTTTTTACCCCCCCCCCCCCCTCCCGGAACTCCCCTGGATCATTTTTTTTGGGTTCCAATTTCCAAACACCCCACATGGTGAGTGAGAAAAAAAATAGAACATCAAAATCCATAGCATGTGTGAGAAATATAAGAAGAAAGGCATCACAGCAGATAGGTTCCCGATCAGGGTTTTGAAGGCAAAAATAATCACAATTAATTTATGGTAATTTCTCTAAAGTGGAAAAACCACATGGATCAAATAACCACCCCCAGTTTTTCCTTTCCTTTATCTTGAAATCAATGGCCTGACCCAATATTTATAATTCTAGAGAAGGGAAGAAATGGATGTCATTTCCGTTGTTACTATTTGGAAAATCCAAAGCACAACGCCTCTGTCATCCAGTAAGCATATTTCTATATATTGACGGAGTAATAATGAAGCCAAGCAGCCAACTACACAGCTTATATAATACTAATGTTTTTAGTCACACCTGGGCACATGTGTCTGATTTCTTGCCAATATCATTTGATTGATGAATTCCAGAATTCTTTCTCCCTATCACGTTAATAATTATACCATCCTCCTCCTCCTCTTCATCAACATCATCATTATCATCATTCATAGCTTCACTCACCATGCGATCGTGTGCTACATTGGTTGAGTTCTCTACTTTGCTATAAGGTGCCTCTGAGCGGTTCTCCCTCTCAAATATCTTATTTAAGACTGATGACATGATATTCAACTCATTTTCATCCACCCCACCACTTTTGCTTGCCATGTCAGTTTCTTTGGCTGTAGAGTATGCTGAACCAGAATGCTGCTCACAGTCACAAAAGTGAATCGGGAAAGGAGGAACTTCCACCCGCTGGAAACTATATTTGTGTTTCCCAGACCCCTTAAATGGCAATGGTTTTATCTGCATGAAGAAATCCCGAAGTACATAAACAGATAAGATTATCAAGGGTCAACTCAATGCAGGCCACAACATTTAAGGTTCACTTTGAACTCAAAATAGATATTCAGGTAAAAGCATCATAACGCAGGCATATTGCAGCTCAATCCACAATCTAGGCAGTTAAAAAATGAATAGGGTGGTGACAAAAAGCGCTAGTATCCAAATTTCTATCTCAACTACACACTACTAAATTTGGTCCTTGACCTTTTTGGGACTCACTACAACACCTGATTGTGCAATGTAGACCATATCGGGTCCAAAGTACACAGTTTATGGCCAAGTTGACTTTGACATTGGGTCTACATTAAGCGCGTGGGCAATAGTAATTGAGTAATAGTATAAAGTCAAGAGATTAAATAGTTATTACATCTATCATTACTTTCCATCATAACAGTCAAAACATGAATTACCTTTCTTAATTTGGGGAAGTAAATGTTAAGCTGCATTTTCTCTAAGGCGTGATTCTTCTTTAGCTTGTCCAGAGAGCTTGTAAAGGCATTTGAAGGAGGGCAAGCAGAATCATTAGAAACTTCAGCATCAACTTCAGCATCTTCTGCACGTTCACGTTCCAGACGTAGAAGATAGTGCTCCTTAGCCTTCTCAAGTCTTAGCCTCCCCCCTTTCCACATGCATCCATTATACTGAACCATCGAAAAAACAAGAATGAAACTAAGAATAGTAAAGCCAGGAAATTGTACACAGACATCAGGATGGGGCTCAGTCAAATCATAGTATCTGTCTGTTATGTCATATTGTAATTATTAACTTATAATCTAGTAGTATGTGAAAATTGAGATGGATAGAAAAGGGGAAAATAAGTACTCATGAGCAGTTGCAAACCTTCAATACTTCCAGACTTATAATCTATTGTTGATTTTTTAAGAGTGACCACATGTCATTCTAAAGCCATTATAAGCGTGGATGTGTTGTGAAAAATTGGCAGCCAGTCAACCACTACTTTCAAGAAAATTTTCTTTCTCTGCTTTTAATATTTACGAATAATAAACTGATGTTGTAATACAGCATGGCATTCAGAAATGGACCTTGCTGAAAATCTTAAGAAGAGAGTGATCGGAAGAGGGAACAAAGTCCAAGTAAGCAAAGCCGCGGCCTTTTGTGCGAATAAGATCGACAGATTGGACAAAACCGAGTTGTGGTAAAGAGAAGGTCTTCTTCAGATCCTCTTCAGTCACATTCTCACCCAGACCTCCTACGTATATCCTAGTCTTCTCACCGCCTTCTGCTTTTCCCATTGCTGCTCCACTGCTCTGCTTGTCCATTTCCGCTCAACTGGAAGAACCCTAGTTCGTTATACTTGCAATTTGGGTAGGTAATTTTAAAGATGTGTTCACTAATGATGTTTTTACTTTGTTTTCGGTAGTGACAAAGTTGAAGGAGACCACACTATACTTAAATAATCTAGACTTGACTTGACTTCCGTAGTTATAAAATACACATAGACTACGTTTAACAGATCAAATCATACCAGTTCAAATCAGATCAGACCACACTTAAACAGACCAAATCAAAATAGACCAGACCAGCAAATTACAAAGTTTGTATAAATTATTACTAACAAGAATGTCAATTAAAATTAAAATGCTTTAAAACATTTCATACTAATTAATTTTTATGTCAAACATCTTGTGATTCAAAACTTATATCAATCAAGGATGTTGACGATTAACAAAACATATACTACGGAGTATTTGAAAAGAGAAAGTAGAGCCATATATATATATATATATATATGGAAAAAGGTGCAAATAGGTCCATGTACTAATCAAAAAAGGTCAAATAAACCCTTATTTAAGAGGCTCTGTACGGTCATCGCCATTTGGGGTGGTTCCCAGTGGAATTTTTTGATGAAATTTTTTGAGCATCTTATTCATCAAGTCTAGTTTACTCATACCAAATTTAAGCTAAAAATTCATTGGGGAAGGCATTCAAATGAATTCTTGAAAATAACTGCGCAGTTAGAATCGCATTTAGCTTCAAGAATTCATTTGGATGCCTTCCCGATTGAAGTTTTAGCTGAAATTTGGTATGAGTAAACTAGACTTGATGAATAAGATGCTCAAAAAAATTCATCAAAACATTCCACCAGGAACCACCCCAAATGACGACGGCCGGACAGAGCCTCCTAAATAAGGGCTTATTTGACCTTTTTTGGTTAGTACATGGGCCTATTTGCACCTTTTTCATATATATATGAAATAAGAACATGATCTTGGGAGAGAAATGAGAACGAATATGGACCGTAAGATTTGCTTTACGTGAAATTCAATGTGCATTAGATGAAACTGTAATATGCATTAGGTAAAATTGAAATGTGCAACACAAAGCGTATGATACAATGTCATTAAGTGAAGCTGAATTGTGCATTAGGTGAAATTGAAATGTGCACTAGGTGAAACTGAAATGTGCAGAATAAGAGGTACGATGTGATGTTATTTTTGTACATTTTATTCCGCACATTTCAGCTTCACCTAATGCACAATTGAGTTTAAATTTTTATTCTGCACATTTCAGTATCATGTAATACACATTTCAGTTTTATCAAAAGCACATTTCCGTTCCACATAATACAATCCAACGGTCCAGATTCGTTCTTATTTCTCTCCTGGGAGTCCGTTCTTACCGGAACCGCTCCCTGTGTGTGTGTGTGTAGGGTTAGATTCATGTAAGAACACTAGTTTAGGAGAAAAATAAGAAACCTTTTCAGCCGTTGATTTGTGAAATCGGACGGCTGGATGGAGTGCAAAAAAAGGCCAATCGATTCTATAATAAAAGGAAAGAAATTAATGGTAGTTTGTGGGTAATTAAAAGATTGTCACGTGAGGGGTAATATTGGCATTTGGTAAATCTAAAAAACGCACGCAATGTGCAATCAAAGGCGGCATAGATGGCCGAATCCCAAAATTATAGTCATTACCAAAGATAGAACACTTCAATTTTGGTATCTTCTCTACTGAAAACTGTAAATAAAAAAATCATGGAAAGAAGAGAGACAAGGGCGAGTGCAAAACGTGGAGAAGAACTGAGGAAAACGACTAACAGGGAAGCAATGGAAGGTGCGTTTGTGATTACAAGTGCAGCGAGAACAGTCCCTGGTGCGGCGGTTGTGGAGACCGGTAAGTTCATTAAAGTTGTTTAATCATTTACTTTGAAAAATAAACCTAGCATTTGGAAACGAAGTACCATGAAACTGTAATTTCGCTCTCTTGCAGGAGGAGAAGATGTTGGTTTAAGAACATGCATGGACGAATTGATTGGAGTGCAGAAGTTGGTGGTGGGCGTTACTGAAGAAGAAGAAACGTGTGCATTAAAAGGACAATTTAAGTGCATCTTTGTATATGTTAATGTTGAAGTAGTGAATTTCATGGAAAATGTAATGTGAATTTTAATAAAAACATTTTTGGTAAATTTGTAGTGCGGTGATGCATTTGGTTGTGGTAAATTAATAGACTGCATTGTGTGTGAGTAATGTGACATGGGATGTGCAATTTGGTAAAAGCATTTGTGTTAATATACTTGAATGTAAGTGAAAGTGGTAAAGACTTGGTGTTGTGATGACTTTGGTTGTGGAAATACCCTAGTGTGCAGCGTGTGTGATTCAGGGACATGGAATGTGCATTTGATTCTATGCTAATGGTTTAAGTGTGCATTTTGAAATGCCCGGAATTAGGAATAGACACAATAGAATGTGCCTTAATGGTTTAAGTGTGCATTTTGAAATCCTCATAAAATGTGCATTTTAGGTAAAAGCATTTGTGTTAATTTACTTGAATGTATGTGAAAATGGTGAATCCTTGTGTGCATAATGGTTGAAGTGTGCATTTTCAAATGCCGACATTTAGAAATAGACAAAATGGAATGTGCATTAATGATTTAAGTGTGCATTTTGAAAATCCAAGGAATGTGCATTTTGATAAAAGCATGTGTGTTAATTTACTTGAATGTATGTGAAAGTGGTCAATCCTTGTGTGCATAATGGTTTAAGTGTGCATTTTGAAATGCCCAAAATTAGGAATAGACCCAACTGAATGTGCATTTTGATAAAAGCATTTTTGTTGATTTACTTGAATGTATGTGAAAGTGGTAAATCCTTGGTGTGCATAATGGTGAAGAAGCAAGACAAAAGAAAATCAAAGAAGTGAAGTGAGGTGTTTTGAAAACATTACTAAATTTGTTTGTGAAATTTCTGATTTTTGGGATCTAATTGGGTTTTGGTTGTGATGTTTTATTTGAAGGTTAAAACGTTGTTAGTGTCACGCCCCGGACCTATCCGGACACGTCAACAATCCGCCGTACAATATGAATAGTCAACCGCAGTCCAACTCATCCATATTATACAAGGCGTCTCGAATATCATTCACACATAAGTCATCCATAAACATACATAATAAGTAATTGAATACGCAGCAGAAATCATAGTTTGGATACAAGTGCCACACGGGGCCAACACGAGCACGCAGGCTCCATAATAAAAACAATATCCATGAACATGTTTTAAAATGTTTAAAATCGGAATGGAGGAAGCACGAACCAAGTCTTCCCCTCCGAGATGATCGCCCGATCAACAAGCACAGGTAGCAAGCTCTAACCTCAACCTGAAATGATGGTGGGACGCCCCCCGAAAGGGGGTCAGTACTCTATACGGCTATAAAGTACTGGTGTGGCTGACATCTAATAGATATACAACAAGTATTTCAAACACAAGACCCTCAAATAGGGTGATAATATAATTCTAGGTCGTAACCCCAAGTTACCCCTTTTTTAAAATATATTTACTTTATATATAAAGTCAAGTAGTCGGCCCATGGCCCAAAGTTCGTTTTCAAAACATAAACCAAACCCCGTGACCCCTAGTCACGACAATACATAGGGTTCAACCCTAACACACATGTTTGCATTTCTCGAGTCCAACTCGACTACATCACCATGCATATCAATCACAAGTCAATTACTCCACCAATCTCCAACGTCATGTTCACCCATGCAATTCTAGAGCTCGGCTCAAGTACATCTCCTTACATGGGCTGAACCTAATCCTTATGTCTACCCAATGCAATTCTAGAGCATCGGGCTCAAGTACATCTCCTTGCATTGGCATAGACCCCAATTCCTAAGCACTCACTATGCCTAGAATTGTAATATCAATAATCTATTTCGGGACATCCTTACGGACTGCCTTATCATGATCTTAGCATCACATTACAACAATTTACTCACTTGAACCACTATCAAGTATATCACTTACAATCAAATCCTTAGATTCAATTTTTTAACAATTACAAACAATCATTAACTAGTATTCCAATACTATTAAGATTATTCCCATCAATCATATGTTTCATTTGTAAATCCCTACATATTTAGAAATATGTAGCAGCAACTTAGTCATCCAATGTAATACACAAATAATCATTTATGTATCTACACCATTCACACATGAGTAAAAATGCCTATTTCACACAATAGTTCATTTAACTCCATTTTTATCAATATGATTTCCAAATCATTTGCAATTTCATTACTCATCTAATATATCAATATTTCATCAATAATCAGTCATTATAATCCATGGAAAACATGATTTAGGCATTTAGGTAATCTCATGCTTAACCTACAAGTTGTAAGCAACTAGATGTCGATCCTCACTTTAAATGAGCTTTAAATTTCTCCTTCTGGATCCAACGGTCAAAGCTTCGGACAAGGTGGATTAAGAACTGATTCCTTGCTTAAAAATAGGTGTTAAACAGCCTCTTCAAGGTACTTGTTCAACTCCTAGCCGAAGACACGAAAACAGCCCCTATAACGGGTGTTTTCCGGCGAATTCGCTCCCTAAGCTTTCAAGGTTTTGTCTAGGTTAGTATCTAACCTTTCCAACAAATAAGGTACTCTTATAATAACATTTTATACACTTGAAATAGTGTATAATAGTTAAACCAATCGTTCATATCATTTGGAAAATGAAAAGAAAGGTTTTTGGAGTTAAAACTCACTTTGGCGATTCTGCGAGGTTGTGTTTTGTTCGGACGATTTGGAGGCCTTCCACAACTCCGTTTGATGCAAAACAGACTTTCACGGATTCCTCGTCTTGATAGCTTTCCGTAGACACCTCACACGCCTTATTTGGACAACTGGAGCTCAAGATACGAACCGGACAACACCTCCCTCTCCCTGCTCGAGCTTATGCGCAGTAGTTCACTCAAGCTCGGTTTTTATCTGAAACTATCCATCTCTTCGCACATCAACCACCCAATACGTCAACTAGACTTCAAGGGCTATCCAGGGACACATTATACACCTCATTTGGCCGAGTAAAACTCCATATATGGAGGGAGACAAATCACCCCCATGATTTGTGCGGAATTTGACAAGGTGGGTCTCTCCCTTTAATTTCCATGTCTAAGTCCAGCCCCCAAAGTCAGATATGGCCGACCGCTAGGATTATTTCTCTTGTATTACATGTGATGAGAAGATTTTGAGCGCACCCCAGTGTTCCCCAATTATTTTGGGAGCAAAATATCAACTAATACTTCCAAAGATGGAAAGATGGGTCCTATTGTTCTATCTTTTGTCATAAGATGTCTTTTGTACTCATTCCAATTTATTCAGATCAAGTTAACCTCCTACATCGTATTATTGGTCTCTAATATGTGTAGTGTGGTCCCAATAATTTATTTGATGTACAATTACAAAAGAAAACCCTACTCCCATTATTTAGCCTAATAATGCCAAAGATGGGACCATAGACATTTGTATTCTTCTCAAATCATTCCGTCATTCATTTAAGATGTTAATATATATATAAATATATATATCTGGGCTACCAATCGTGTGGGTCACCCTCCAATGGGTCTAGGATGCCATTCTTGAATAATTACTATTTTTAGCAGGTTAGGCGCAAAATAACATTTGGGCTGCCCGACCGCTCTTACATTGTACCGATGGACTATATATCTTATTTAAGGATGTTGGGCCCCAATATCAATGATATGGCCCAATTAATTATTTAGAAGCCCGTTACCATTGTATGAGTCCAAATAGAAATATGATAAATCATACGTTCCGTAAAACTTTAATCGTTTTACAATTGTTCGAAAATAGGAGAATTCAATACATAAGCTTTGAAATTAAATTTGAATTTCTAGGACGTTCAGGTGCGGTGTCATAGTTAGAGTATTTAGAATATGTTTAGACAAGGTCCTTTTGCATGGGTTTGATGACTTTGATATATTATTGAATTTTTTCATGATTGCTAAGTAGTATGTTGATCGTGTGAGGTGTAAATTCAAATGAAACGTATGAAATGGGAATAAGAAGTTAATATTGTTGTGTGCAATTTAGAATATGGATAACTCTTAGATGTTGTCATTAAAATGTGTTAAAAATGGACATTTATTTTGACCAACGAATGAAGAATGTTAAGTGTTAAAGTGTATTTCAACATTAAAGTGTGCAAACATTACACGATGTACAAATTATATGACTAATTACACATATGTCGCTGATGGTTGTTTTTCAATATGAAAGAGTACAACAAATTACAACATCATTTTGCTCACAATGATAATCATGTGACTGAACATAAGGGTTGATTACAGGTAAATCAATTTGCACTAATAAATATTAATTGTATTGGTGTTGTGAACTTTTAAAAATTAAAATGTGCAACAAAAAATTCAAATGAAATGACTATCAAAACAATCGAATGATTAAATATAATGACTAACAGTAAAAAATAAAACTAAGCAAGGTGAACCAAAACAAGTCATGTATGAGCATCAAGTTTTAGAAATAAATCATAAAGCAACAATAGGTAAGTAGCAAATTCAAGCCGATTTTTCATGGGGCAGTTACGGCTATCATGGCGACACATCTCATTACATGTTCTACACAATCTCAACTTCTTCTTTGATTGTATGCCACTTCTTTACCACCTTTTAAGCGCTTGCCACAACCCTTGTTCCTAGCTTGTTGAGGCGGAAGTACGTTGACCTCTGAAGGAGCTGTTGCACCAAAAATTTGCTGAATGACAAAGTCTTGATTGTCACGTGTGCATTATGTTGCTGTGATGAGAGCAGAATACTCTTATGTTCTTTAATTAATTGTGCAAACTGATCAAACAGAACATTCTTATCCTCGATAATAGCAACACAACAATGAATGCCAGACCATAAACGATTGACATGTAACTTTCTCTCCTCATTGGTAAAAAACGTTATCGTCAATATCAAACATGGGTTTAATGATACTGTTTTAACACCAACGACTTAGAACAAAGTCAGCAGGAGTGTTGTGCAATTTAAGGTGTTTAAAACACAACAAACATGTGTCTACAAACCAACCCAACTCTATCAAAGTCTTTGCAACTGCATGTTTGTTGTCGTAGATGCGATTAAAGAATGCACAACATTGAAAATCATACCGCACTCATCATTGATAACGTACTCATGCACACAGTTTACTTCTTCAACGCTTAAAACAAGACATGAGAAACATGCAACACATATCTCCTTCTGAATTTCATAAAAAAATGGAGAGGGTGAAGACAGATGATGCATGCTTCTCGATGGGTAGCGGTGTGCTGTGAACAGGTGTGCAAGAGTAAAAAATGTGGTTCAATTTGAAATTCAGGGATCCAATACTTAGTTGACCTAGGACAAATTTTTAAAGCTTCTACACGAGTGATATAAAGAAACATAAACGATGAAACTTATTCAAAAAAATAAATAAACAAACGAAACAAAGAAATACGTAGAACAAACGAAAGATGGTTAAAAACAAACCTTTATCCATTAATGGAGTTTCGGAGTTTTTGGGGAGGAAGAGACGATCGTACAGAAGTTGGAATTCACGTACATGGAATGGCCGAATAGCATCCGTAACTGAAAAGGAAATAACTAAGACGTTTAATTAATTGACAAAAAATAATGGAAAGAAACATAGAAGGAAAGATAGCTACGTACAAAAGGGAAGAAATGTCACAATGACCATCTTAGCCTGCGCATTCTCACGTGAGAATTTCAGAAAATGAGTTGATCTAATGGCCAGGATTGTTTCTTATTTATCACATTAGATGGTGTTCTTATTTGAACCAAAACCTATTGTTGGGATATTGGCCCGGAAGCCCAATACCCGGATTAAAGGCCCAGGATATCCAGCCTAAACAACGAGCCCACTACCCTATGATAAGTAGGCCCAATGAGATATTCATACCGAACGAGGTTCGGGCCAAGTAAAGGCTGGCCCAGAAAACAAACCTACCGAACGGGTTTCGGGTCAAACATCATACTTGAGCCAAATCAACAATGTTTTACAGGGTCCATTATCCCATTCGGGCAACGGACAACCAACAGGTGGCCAGGTGCAATTAATGCCAGATTGCGACATCAGCAAGTGGAGGCATGAGTGATCAGGTCGGTGGAACATCAGCCAATCAACATAAAGCGTTCCATACTCTCCATTGGTATAAATAGAAGGTTTAATATCATTGTAAGGGTTAGCATTTTAATACTCAAACCCTAGAATAGCCTTATTGCTCTTGTTTCTTGTATTAAGCATAAATCCGACGTGCCGTTCGGATTATTTACTTGTAATCAAACAGGTTAATTAATACAAGTGGGTTTTTGAGCATTCGATTATCCATCTTTTATATTTGTTTTACACATCGAATTATCGTCCATTTCCTGATATATCCAAAGTCTGTGTTGGGCTTTCAGATCTACCGGATTAAACCCCAACGCACACACACACACACACACACACACACACATATATATATATATATATATATATATATATATATATATATGTTATCTTTTATTTCAGTTATGCACCGTGCACATTGTTGTATTGGAAATGATTTAAGTGTGATATAAATTATACTATATCTTTATCTCAATTTGTTTTGTAAAGACAACATTTTGTTTAGCCAATGTTAAAGTAAAATTCTTTCTTTTTTGTGGAAAGTAAAATGGAGTACTAAATAAGAAAAATGGATAAAAAGTGAGAATTTGTCTTAATTTCCAAAAACGTGACTAAAAAAGTTGAGAGACCAGTTCGCCCTTATTAAACCAACTGCTCAGTTACAGTGACCAATCCTACAACGACTTTCGCCTAGTGATCAATTAACACAATTATACCTGCCCAGTGACCAACGTCCACTCGTTAATGATTAGCGTCTGCCCGTCCAATGACCATAGTCCATCTATCCAGTGATCAACGTTTGCCTGTCCAGTGACCAACGTTCGCACGTTTAGTTACCAATGCCCGCTCGTCCAGTTACCAATGTCTGCCAGTATAGTGACCACCGCCCGACCGTCCAGTTACAGTTACCCGATTCGTCAGTTACAGTTACCCGATTCATCATTTATAGTTACACGATCAGTCACTTACAATTATCCACCCCGTCAATTATAGTTACCTAATTTTGATCAATTACAGTTTACCCCTATCCAATGAATTACCATTATCGGATTTGACCATTTAAAGTTACTGACCATCACCCCAGCACTACCGGTGAACACCACCTCCGGCCAGGGCCGTCGACCAACACCTCCGGCCACCTCTGGCAACCACCATCGCCGGCGACGACCACACCCAGCCCCCCCAGCCCCACCCAACACTATCCTCCACATCACCCTAGCCCCCTGTTTCGCCCAACCTCCTATCCCCCGCCTCACACATCCCCCCTACGTCACCGCATCCCTTTGCCCCTCCAACACCACCACACTTTGCCCCTCCTTCTACTGCTATGCCCCACCCTCAACCCCCCTCCAGTCTCCCCAGGTCACGACTGTCGTTGACCGCGATAAGCTAGCGGCAACAATCAAGGACAACCGCATAATCCTAGCTGCGGTCGTCGATAACCCCAACATCCTCATTGCCGACGTATGGAGTCCTGATCGCCAGCACCACTTCCAAATCGCATCGTCGTTTGCGATGTCAATTTCTTCACCTACACTAATAATTGTCGTAAAAAACGGAGTTGAGGGTGCAAAAACATAGATTTTTTAAAAACGGGATGCAAAGTACAATTTGAACAATAAAATGACGTGCAAACTCAAATTATTCCATAATTATTCAAATCTGATCTCATTTGGTCTAAAAGCAAAACTGATCAAATAAAAAACATCCGAGTACTATATTACGAGTAGTTTTTTTTATGAGATGTGAAGGGGAAAATATAGGCATCACGAAAAAATTACTCCGTATTACGCTACACAGTAGAAAAAGACACAGGCTGGTCAGGCCGCCGGGAGCAAAACCGGCGTCTCGGTTCTCTATACAATCATCCTTTTACAGCCAAAATCCGTCAGTAAGCTCCAAATGCCTCCAAAGAGTGAGCCGTGCCGGAATTTCATCCGTGGAAGGTGTGTCTTTTATATCTGAATAGCGACACGGTTGTTAATAATGCCCCGATTAGGATCAGCAAAGGAAACCACTAAAAGACTTCTCTTTGAACTGCAACAATTTCATTCCAGCTTGTTATATCGTTTCGATATTGTTAGCAGTTCACTTTTCAAACTAGTCCGTGTCTTACATGTTTGTAAAAAAACTACTTATTGTTGCTTTGCATTAGCAACTTCTGATCCCTAACATTTTTCTGTGAAGCTGTCGTTATGGTGATCGTTGCAAATTTCTTCATGCTTCCCAACAACAGTCAAAACCAAATGTGTTTGGATTCGGGAGCCAAAATGGCACACAATCTCAAAGGTCAAGTTTTCAGCAGCAGCAGAATCCCAATCCTTTTGGGTTTGGTGTTCAGAGTAACTATCAGTCAAGAGGAGAAGCTGGTATTGGATTAAAAACCAATCAGAACAAGGTTTTTTATGCTTGATATGCAATAGTTTTAATTAACTGACAGTGAACTTTGACCTGAATTTCTGAATCTCCTACTGACTTACTCCATTCGTCCTAAAAAAAGTGTCATGTTTCAAGAACTCCTTTTGTCCCCAAAAAAATATGGCTTTAAAAGTTGAAATTTAAGTTTTGGTAATGTTTCTGTAAAGCCAAGCAGTGAGCAGTTTTAGTCAATTTCTGCAAAAGTCTTGGAAATAAATTTTACGTGATCAAAAACAAAAACAAAGTTGTACCTTACGTGGGCAAGCTTCTTTTTTCTGGGAAATAGTATTTACTAATCAGGCAGTATATGTTATAGATCAATATGTTGGCATTACCTTTACTGATTACGGAGTATTAAACTGTTAGTCTTAATGTGGTGTATGCATCTCATAGTAATATAGTATACAACACTGTTTCTGTTGATATGAGAATAATACCGTTATGCTTATGTTAACCACTAAGCGTCTCTGTGACTTTTTAATTTTATATCCACCTTGTAATCATTAAGTTGTGTATTGTCATTCCATGATGCAAGTGGATTCATGGTCCTTATGCTAATTTTGTCCATTTTCCTCTAACTAGCCATTTGAAAATAAGTGGACACGTTCATCTGCCAATGCTAGTACCCCCCCTACACGCCAACCGGACAATCAGCAGACAGCACCTAATCATATGTGAGTGAAGTGTTTAGGAACTTATTTCCTGTACTGCTCCACACCAGCTTCTTTGATTATGTCCATGTTTGTTGTTTCATGTGATAGCAGCTTGTGTAAACTGATGGATTTTGTCGTTCCAAATTCAAAGATGCACAGATCAAGAGTCGTGCAAGCGTCAAATCATTGAAGATTTTCAAAACGAGAAGCCTCTTTGGATCCTTACAAGCTATGGTCACCTAAAAAGGTACTACGTATGTGTTAGTTATACCTTTTTCTCGTCATATGTTTTTTTCAGCTCATTAATCCACTCATGGGGTTCCTCCTGAAAGAAGTGGTTTATATGAACACCTGAATAAGAAACACATCTTTGAAAAGTTAGTTGCGAGATGGAAATAGTTCTGAATGTGTAGCCACAAAGCCTCAACTAATATATTCTATGATAGGAAGCCGTGAAGCGCATACGTTTACTGAATTTAAGCAGTTAAATAAGGATCAAATATGTTTGAGTCCCTGCAAAGATAGCATCTTCTGGGTTTAGATCCTTGCAAAATATTATTTTGTTTTTCATACCTGAAGTATATGTTTTTTTAGTCCTTATATGAATAATTCCTCCAAACTTTCCACATACACCTTTTAGTACTTTTTAGAGGCTATTAAGGTACATAGTGTTACGTTTTAAATGTAGCCATGTCTGTTTTATTGTTAAAAGGATATAGCTATAGAGTCGGTGAGCACTAAAAACAAATAATGCAAATTAAATGGTTGAAAAACTAAATAGTAAGGGACCTGTAATAACAGCTACTATTTACGTAGGGACTCAAAACATACTCAAGACATTAATCAATTTGCTATAATATTTAGTTTTCTTATGGTCCACATAGCCCATTAATGACAGGAAGGATCCTGAAAATTTGCATTAAACTTAAAATGTCTTAAATTTAAATGCAGTGGACCCTGTGATGTTGCGGGTGATATTAGCTACGAAGAGCTACGGTTAGCAGCATATGAAGATGCAAGACGTGGCGCGAACTTACAATCAATTGTAAGATGTTCACACCTCCCGACTTGCTCTTCTCTCTTTGTTTGTATAAACTATATACTTATAGTACCATAGGAGCCTTATTTTGGGAGATTTCGTTTCCTAATTTGCATAATGAATGTAAAGGCTTCATTTAGTTGCCTGACATTGTAGAAATGATAATAAGGAAGATTGAGGGCAGTGTCATTGTTTAATCAAAATAACGTGAAAGTAAAATATGTTAGAATCACATTTCTTCCATGAGTCGAAGGGAAAGGTAGTGAGTGTGTTAAATTGGGCCTAACTCACCCCAAAAGAATTTTGAGAGAAGTCTACCCACATGTATTTTAGATTCAAACCCAATAGACCAGTCATGTGGGATGTGCAACAATATGGAACACCAAATGCAAGGAACCATGAATTCAATCAAATAAACATATCTAACAGGTAAAAGAGTTGGAATCATTCATCTTCTCGGACCTTATGACAACATAGTAAACTGAGCCTGAAAGAAACACAAAGAAAACAGGGAAGAGGCTTTTATTAACTTATTTGCCTCTCCATTAGCTATTCCTTTTCAATCCCCTTATCTCATTTCCCGATCATGTGAAACGTAATGGATAGATTAAAACTGACAGCAAAGAGTACAACACTTCATGCACTTGATTCTGACAGTGTTCAACGCCCAATTAATGCAGGTTGAGAGGGAGAGAGCTCTAATTAGATCCAAGCTAGCTGAATTTGAGTGCTTAGTGCGTAATAATTATCCAGCTCCGTCAAATTCGACGTTTGGCTCTCAGAGTTCTTTATTTGGAACAAGTCAAAATGCTCCAACAAGTGCTCATGGTCCTCCTTCTGCCTCAAGTTTTGGTCAGCTAGGTGCAGTAAGTCCTCCATCTGCCTCAAGTTTTGGTCAGCTAGGTGCATTAAGTCCTCCATCTGCCTCGAGTTTTGGTCAGCTAGGTGCATTAAGTCCTCCGTCTGCCTCAAGTTTTGGTCAGCTAGGTGCATTATTAAACTCAGGGTTAGAATTGTTTCATTTATTATCTAAAATGTTAGTGTTGCATTCATACTGTTTTAAAGCTTGGCTTTTGACGGATGATGACTTTATTTTGTTTGTCTTCCAAACACAAGGCAATCGGTTCCCCCAAATAACACTCCACAGCAGTCAAATCCCTTCCGTCAGATGTCTTTCGGAAATGCAGGTGCCATATAATAATAATGTTTTTAGCAATACACATTTTTGCCTATACTTTCATTAATCTAATTTTTACTGGCTTTTGTTCTAGGCGCGTTTGGCAGTCAGTTTGGTGCTCCGTCAGTTCATAGCCCCTTCACCTCTAGTTCAGCAACCTTAAACAATGGCCTAACTAGTGGGCAATCGTTTGGCAATGCCGGCGTGATGTAAGTTCAACAAACTATTACTTCTATTACATGAGACTGAAGAATCAAGTCTAATATAGAACCTAACTTATCTAAGTAATGGCTTTTTTGTGCCACCATTTCTGATTTTTTAGCAATTACAGCCCCCTTATACAAGGCTGAAATTTTGTTTATAATCCTTCTGTCCCAAAAATGGTTTCTTGCTTCAAACATTTTATTGTCCCAGAAAAATAATCAGTCCAGCTTGTTAAAATAAAGCTGTTTTTTATGTGACTTGCCAAAAAAGTGTGTATAAAAGAATCACAAACAAAAATTTAGAAGTTACCATTTACCATACATTACTGTAACATGACTTGTGAATTCCTTGAGAGCAGATTTAAAAAGTCCGGATGAAGATGTCTTTAATCTTTAAAATATATGTTGAAGATTGATGATCATTCATACACCTGTTTCATTTGTTCCAACAGGCCTGAATATACAGAGTGGTCCCAAATTCCATTGATCCATCCTTATAATATATTCCCATTGTTATTAATGAGTAATTTGTTTTAGATATAGGAACATTTGCCTCTCTAAAGGTTGTAAGAGTAAAAAGTACTCCCTTCGTCTCGTAAACAACTTCACACTTTGTTTTCACACATATTAAGGAAATAAAGTTACAGGAGGGTAAATTTTACTGTTTTGACACCGTTTGGACACTGTTTGGCACTGTTTGACACTGTTTGGATGTAGAGAATTTGCCAAATAAGGAAGTGGGAAGAAGTGTGAAGTTAATTTCGGGACTGCCCGAAAAGGAAAGTGTGAAGTTGTTTACGGGACGGAGGGAGTATTATGCAAGAAAGTTGTAGTTATGAAACACCCACATGAAAAAAGGTAATTAGGAGAGTAGGGGGGAGTTTTTTTTCAAGAGAGCTGTATGTCTTCATTGTTATAGCTTTATATCTGCTTCAGGGCTCTAACTGTTTGAACTTTCCTTTTAAAAGGAAGCAGAAGGTACTTGATGATCTAAAAGATAGCATTTGGGGTAAGGAATGGAAGATTGGAGAGGTATGGACTACTGTACATTGCATCGTGTAAAATTGCAAGTTAGTTGAGTGGTCTTTGCCTTCATTACTTAAAACCTTAATTACTTTCAAGGCATCCTCACATTCAAATACATTTCAAGCAAAGTGCATATGATAACGCCTCACAGTCACAGACCAACACTAGTTGTTTAGAGTCTTTAGACTTCAGATTGTTGCTCATATGGGTTTCATAAATAATAATTAACAGTAATTTACCTCCTAAAATCTACACATACGTTTAAGATTAGTAAGAGCATATTAGTTTAATCTTGAGTGTGTTTTGGAGGCTAGCAACGTCCCACATTACATGTAATGTTTTTTAAATGGGAAATCGCCATAGGTGAGAGCAACATGTCATCAATTTCCTCCTCATATAGAGAAGTACTTCTACATTCTTCCCTTTACTCAACAATGACTCTATAGTTACTGTACTAGTACTTCCCGTACACGTCATTAATCTACAATTACTCTGCCCTGACCAAGTTTACAACGTTAAAAAAGTCATGGAGGTTTTCGCCAGAATAATTAGTCATGTACTCATGTTTTGTAAGTTTTACTCCTAAAAAGAGAATAAATGAGATATGGTCATTTGTGAAATACAGCAACATATCGCTCTTACCCAAAGCAATTTACCTTTTAATTAACAATGCCCCTTTTTTTGCCTAAAAATAGGATCCTATTGTTCTAGGTTCTAGCCATTTAGCATGATTTTATTCAAAGATAAGTTTATACTTCAATGGTTAAATGCCCCATCTACCCCCACTCCCAACTACCTCAAACAAAATTGAGAAAAAGAGAATTTATTGTCATTGATTAGTGTGCTCTTGAATGCACCTTAGTATTTACTGCAATTTTTCCCTTTTCAGATCCCAGAAGAAGCCCCCCCCAGATGAATACGTATTCTAGTGTTGCTTATATCATATTCCATCCATAAACTGCTTCTCATTCACATGTCTCCATAGAAACAACAGGCTGGTTTACGAGATTATTCATGGAATTATGGCTGCTGAACACGTATTTTGGAGCATGTATTTTTCTTTCTTTCTTTGTATGTACTATGTAGCATCGCTTTTTAATTTCATTTCTCACATTAAAAGCGTTTCGATAAGAATGCTAGAACAGTTTCTTGGATGTAAGTTTTGGAGTTTTGGTTTAGAAAATTTATAAGAATTATTAGCTTAACAACCGTCATCACACTCACAAATATATTCTATTCATTATATTTTATCATAAAAGATTCAAAGTTCCATTTTCTTGAAAATTATATTTCCGTTATGGCTGTTGAAAATTAAAATTCTATTTCATATTTAATACTTACGGTGTACAAGAACAACATCCAAGCCTTAATCCCAACTTTAAGGGGGTGTTTGGATGTGATTCTCAAAACTGATTCTGCTCCTTCAGGGAGTAGAAGCAGAAGTTGAAGTGTTTGGGTGAAATTCCAAAAGCACTTCTGGTGTTCTAATTTACTCTCAGAATCAGTTTTTTTAGAAGCTGGGGGGTACCGGCTTCTGAAAACTGATTCTGCTTCTGCTTCTGCTTTCAAAAAGAAGCAGAAGCAGAATCAGTTCCAAACACCCCCTAATTCTATGAGATACATATCCATCTAATTCAACATTCTTCTGAATTATGGAGCCCAAGTAACGCAACATATGGTTTCGAAAAAAAAAACAAAGAAACGCAACATATCACAATATCACACACCGGTATCTCGTTATCATCAAGAGTAATATCACTGTTACTACTACAGTACTACTTTTACCTCCACCAAACATGCACTCCATATACTCAGTCTTGCTTCAACTAAGTCTGAAACGCTTGGTCTCCAATGTTTGTCGTCATACTTCCAACTTTGCTTTAACACCCGATTGCGTCTCATCATTCAATACATTATCGTTGGCAAACATCATGCACCACAGTATATCTTCTTGAATCGACCTCATAAGTTCATCTATGGCTATCACAAATAAGAAAGGAATCAAATACGATTCTTGGTGCACTCTAATAGTAATAGGGAACTCTACAGTCCTTCTCACATTAGTACGGTCACTTGTAGTACAAGTCTCATACATATCCATAATGATACTGATATACTTATATGATACCCATTTTCTAGTTAAGGAACACCAAAGGACTTCTCGAGGTACCATATCATATGCCTTTTCTAAGTCAATTAACATCAAATGCAGATTCTTTTTAGTGTCTCTGTATTTCTCCACAACTTGTCTAAGAAGATAAATGACCTCAATTGTTGAGATTTCATGCATAAAACCAAACCGGTTCTCCGAAATCTTTATACTTTTTCGAAGTCTTTGCTCAACCATGGGCATATTTGACAACGTCCCCGGGCATTGGAGTGGCGAGTCGCTTCCGGACGATGACCTACAACCTTAGCATTCTTATCATCACACTTAGGCCTATGAAGTGTAGCGCGCCCTTGGACATTTGACACCACCCCCAGGCTTACAGACGACGACCTGGCTATTGCGATATTCGTATTTCGATTCGTGTCATGTGATGTGACTAAGTGATATTATTGGTTGTCACACGTCTACCCCATCACCCTCCTCCTTAGAGATGGACTCGGGCCGGGTGGCCCGACCCGGAACCGGCCCGACCTGGAACCGGCCCGGGACCGGTACTGTTCCGGCCCGACCCGACCCGGTGGCCCGGTCAATGACCGGTCCGGGTAGGCCCGGCCCGTGGTTTTTCCGGTCCAGGCTCGGGTCACCCAAAACAAGGTCCGACCCGGCCGGGCCCGGGCCTGCTTTGGGCCAAAAACTATTTTTTTTTCAATTTTTTTTAAATTTTCAGGTTGGGCTGGGTATTTCGGGCCATTTGGGGTGGTTTGGGGGGTTGGGGGTGGGAGGGGGGTTAATTAGGAAGAGGAAAACAAAAAAATGATAATGGGCCCGGCCCGGACCCGGACCGGACCCGGTGGTTACCCGGGCCGGTCTCGGGTTCACCATTTCTGAACCGCCGGCCCGCCCGGGCCTAGGCCCGACCCGGACCCGGCCCGGACCCGAATCCATCCCTACTCCTCCTTTACCCTGGCTTGGAACATACATGATACCAAAATGATCTCATGACGGAGTTTTTAATACTTCTTGTGTACTTACATTTAATTAAATAATGTTATTTGAGATTCTTTAATATGATCTTTCTTCATGCCTTTGCTAAGAAGTTACATTGTATCATGAAAAGTGAGTTTTGTCACTTTTAGTCCTTCGACTATCAGGTTACTAGGTTACTGACATTTTTAGTATTCGACTTTAACTTTTCCCACTTTTAGTCATTCGACTATTATGCGAAAGACATTTTTGGTATTTGTCTTTGAAAAAATCCATATTTAGCCCCCCATTCGACTTTCATAAAATAAACACTTTTGGCCCTTCAACTATTATAATAGTGATATTTTTAGTCCTCCACTTATTCTGTTAAAATTATAGTGGAATGACTAAAAATGTCAATTTGATACTACATAATACTCAAGGTACTAAATGTGGGAAACTTTGAAATCGATGATTAAAAGTCTTTCTCGCACAATAGTTGAGGACCTCAAAGGAAAAATTAAAAAATGAGTGTCAAAGTGCATGTCACTAATACTAGGGGTGGGCATAAAACCCGAACCGAACCGGTACCGAACCGTCCCGTAATGGTACCGAACCGAATACCGGGTATTTAAATGGTTCCATAGATTTTTATCCCGTACCGAAACCGTACCGTTTGAAATGGGTATGGGACCGGTCCTAGATTTTGAGAACCGAAAAATACCGGACCGAACCGTTCGAAAATAATGCATTTGAATTTTTTATATTTTTCTATACCAATAGATCTCTTTTATAGACCAACAATTTTATAGCCCAAATATGTATATATTCATGTGTCCCTAAGATATCTAAATGTGTGTTTATATATATATTGTTATTTTTTCTTTTTAGATAATTTATGTTATATTTTGGTATGTATTGAAAGAATATTAAAATTTTAGAAATCATTAATGACTATTCATTTCTAGCAATGTAGTGTACACAACTTTTTGTTGTATCATGTTTGTGCAATTTTTACAACTTAATTAGTATGGTTTAAATATTAGCTTTCAAGGTTCAACTATAAATTAAGTGAGAACTACGGAGTAATATTTAACCTAAAACGAAGAAGAACATTGAAGATTTCTATTATATTCAACAATTTGATAATATTCGTTTTTATATTTTCACATGAACTTAGTAAATTAAAGATGATATTTATCCCGTGTGTCATCGTTTTGCTATACTTTTTCTTAGGTGTGTTGCACTATTTGTGTATTTGTGAATTTTAGTACCACGTATGCAATTTCTTGTATTTATATCAAAATTTTACGTGAGTTGGTTGGTGTGATGATATCTACTAATTGTAAGATTTGTTCAATTTTTTAGCATGAGTTTGGCATTGTACCGTACCGTTTTGTACCATTACGAAATGACATGGTACGGAACGGTTCTATCGTTGGAACCGGACCGTACCGGATCATTTAAAACCTCACGGATACATTGCGAGTTTTACCAATTACAAGACCGCGCTCACCCCTAACTAATACAATTGTCAGGGAAGGGAAAGTGGCAAAGACTCCATGAAAAGTCAATCTTACCTAATAATCCATACGTGAAAGTTTTTCTAACATAATTTAAAAGATTAGTGCAAATGGTACGATGATTTTTCATATTAGTCAGTTGGTATAATTTTAAAGAAGCTGGCAATAGAAACTTTTTCTGACGGGAAAAAACTTACGTAGTATATTAATATAAAAAAGCTCCACAGCCCAACATCCATGTCTCCCGCTACCCAAGAATTCACCTCAAACAATCTATAGCCAAAAGCCCCCACTAACTCACTCTCTCATTGACTTAGAGTAGACTGCCCTAGGAGGCTAGGAGCAAGACTACTAGTTGAACATCCGAGAGATTCAAAGCTGAACTCGGCTATCAATCCCCCCTTTGTAGCGCTGAGCCAAGGTCCGAACAACCTATCACTGCACTCCAAGTTGCTTTGCGGCTTACAGGGCAAAACTTCTCCGCATGCCTGATTATTCCACAAATAAAGCAAAAGCTAGGTAGTTTCTCATATCTGAATGAAACGCAGAAACTAATCCCACCTTTCTTTTGCAAAATTAGTTTCCTTTTCAGCGGGTTTTCTATACTATGGTGACACGGATGCGCATAAAAGGGTTCCACTTAACATTAAAATTATTCGTCAAACCGCATGAATTTTTCCACAAAGTAGCCTATCATTTCAACATTTTCTACGGTAAAGTAACCTACAGAATTTCTATAAACCAGTACCCAAAAATCTGCCTTATTGAGATTTTAGACACACAGTCAACGGTATATCCTCCTCCTCTAGCTTTTTTAGAATAATCAGATTTTGGTCAAATAACCATTCCCCTTCTTGCACTGCCTCATCCAAGTCACTCTCGTGAAAAAAGTGAAACATGTAACGTCTAGTTCCAACGTCTAGTTCCAAATATAGAGAAAAGTATTCATTTCTCAGATGTGATTGTGCCTATCCATGAAAGAGTTTCGAAACTGTCTCCACCAAAATCGCTTCATCTTGTTCCTCCATCTCAGTGGCGGAGCCAGAGGTTTGTCCAAGGAGGGGCAAACCAAAGACTAAAAATTTTAAAGTTCGTGTCCAAAATATAATAAGAACAACAATAGCGTAATAATTTAACAAAAAATTATAGTTCATTACATACTACTTGATTTACTTCTGCAACCTAGGCAAATCAATCCTACGAGTTTTCATATTTTGAAAATGCTGCATAATAGCTTCATTATCAATTGCTTGAAAATTGTCTCTTTCGATGTAGCATATTAAGCAATCCGTAAGATAGTCATCTCCCATCTTATTGCGAAGATCTGTCTTGTTAATATTCATCGATGAGAAAGCTCTTTCAACTGTGGCTGTTGCAACTGGTAACACTAGAGCCAACTCAATAAGACGATAGACCAAGTGAAAAGATTTGTGAATTGTAATCTCAACCATCTTCTTAGACACTTCACCAATACTTTGTAAAGTGGAAAATGCTTCATTTCCTCTCATCTCATATATCCAAACTTGGAGTTGTTCTTTAAGCTCCATTTGCTCAACAGCTGAAAAATCAGATGAATATAACTCCGCAAGACTGAGTAGCTTTGACTCACAGAAATTGGAAAAATTATCT